GCCAGCAAACACGAGTGAGTCCACACCTAGCCCCATGCACCACATTATATTAATTCAACGAGTGTTCTTAAAGTGCCCACTCTATTTTATTAACATCAGTCATTTCCTGGGCACCTTTGCTGTGCCAGGCACTACGTGAAGTGCTTTCCATGAATTATTTTTATTTCCTTTATAGATAAGGAGATTGACATCTGGAGAGGTAAAGTGACTTGCCTCCAGTCAGAAGGCCAAGTCTGCATGACACCAAAGCCTGTGTTCCAGTCATCTCCCCAGGGGTCTGCTCAGGGCCATGCCCTCGGTGGGTGCCAAGGGTTTAGTGTAGTGCTCACTACTGTGCCCACAGACTCACTTGGGCACACACACCACTCCCTCATACAGCAAAAGCCCGACCTAGTTTCCATCCCCAGCCCCAGGACAGTGAAACTGGTTATGCATATCCTTGTCCAGCACAGGCTTTGCTCACCCTCTGTGGAGCCAGGTGCCCAAAGAGGGTGAGGGGTTGAGGTTGTGGCAGGGGAGTGGGAAGGGCCACGAGCTGGGACCTTGTCCCGTGTGAGTGTGTTTCTGCCCTGTGCTGGGCACCAGGTGGTGCAGGCTCTCCTCTGACCTCTAGGAGCTCAAAATGAGTATTAGTTGTTATTTTATTATTGTTACTAATGTCCTTGCCTATTTGTGGGTGAGGCTAGCACCTGCTTTCCAGGGCTGTTGAAAGGATCCAGTGACATAAGTACAGTCCTTACCGCAGCACCTGGTGCAAAGCGAGTGCTTGGCAAATTAGAGCTGTGTGTATTTGTGTTATTCCCACCACTGTAATCCTGTGAGACAGTGAGGCATGGTGTAGGGCACAGGAGGTGTAGTCGCTTTAGGAGAAAGGACAGAATTGATAGCCGTGGAGTGATGCGGGTGAGGGTGTCAGAGAGAGGATCAGCCAGCGGGCATCTCCAGATTTTTCTTTTTTTATCCTCACCCCAGGATATTTATCCATTTTTTGTTCAGATAGACTGGGAGGGAGAGAGAGGAAGAGAGAGAAAGAGAAACATCAACATCAACGTGAAAGGGACACATCGAGTGGCTGCCACCCGCACAACCAACCAGGGCCAGGGACAAACTGCAACCGAGGTACGCGCCCTTAGCGGGAACCGAACCTGGGTCTCTCTGGACTGCAGGCCGATGCTCTAACCGCTGAGCCAAACTGGCCAGGGCCATCTCCAGATTTTGAACGAGGTGGTTAGGAGGTGGCAGAGGAGGGTCCCTGCAGGATTGAGTACTTTTGGAGGAGTTAGCAGGATATCAGGCCCAGGACAGGAGCAGCCAACCCTGCATTCTCTCAGTCGAAGGGAACCAGCTACCTCTGTTTGCCCAGGATGGTCATGGTTTTAGCACTGCAAATCCCATGTGCTGAGAAACCCCTCAATTCTGGGCAAGTGGCCCAGTTGGTCCCCCTAGAACACACAACAGGCACGGGGCTCAGACCTGGCCTTGGACCTCGAGTCCCCTGGCTGAGTGAGGCTGAAGCACGCCACTGTCGCCATCTCCTGTCCCTCCTCCTATAAGCACAGTACCCTCCGTTGCTCCGAACTCTGGTGCTTAGGCACAGGGACCATGGACTGCTTCTTGCAGGATATCCCTGGAAACTGATGCGATTCTGAGAAATGAGAGGGTGAACTCTGGCCAGACTGACTGCCCAGCTCCTGGAATCTCCCAGCTCCCTTCCACCCTGGGGCCTTTGCTCCTCTCTCTTGCACACGTTCCCCGCCCGGACTCAGCTTGAAGGCCACATTTTCCTAGGAGCCTCCCTAACTCCACAGCGCCCTCTAGAGCAGCCCCTGATCCTAAATAGCCACTTCTTTTTCAGGGCTGGGTCTGACCCCCTTGGAGAAAGAAGGAAGGATGGTGGGAAGGAAAAGTCTCAAAGTGCGATTCAGTTCTCAGAAAGTTCCAGCAAAGCCAGTGGGAGTCCTTGAGAGTGTGTGTCTCCCAGCCACAGCCTGTCTTTTCTTGATGTCCTTCAGGCACTGGGTGGGAGTAGCCCTGGAGGCTTGGCCTCAGTGCTAAGGGCTGTCCCCATGGTCATATCAGAGAGACACATTCCCCTGGTCACTGAAAGGGTACTGCCTTTTTTAACTGTGGCCATTTTTACAAACAGCTTTATTGAGATATAATAATACGTGCACCATGTAATCCAGCCATTTAAAGTGTACTATTTGGTGGTTTTTAGTATATTCACACTTGTGCAGTCATAACCACAAACTAATTTTAGAACATTTCATCAAGCAAAAAAGTTACACCAGACCCATTAGCAGTCATTCCTCATCCCCCCTACTCCACTCCCAGCCCAAGGCAATCACTAGTCTACTACTCTCTGTCTATAGATTTGCCTGTTTCATCTCAATGGAATCATAATTTGTAGCCTTTTGTAACTTGCTTCTCTCACTTAGTATAATGTTTCAAGGTCCATCCACATTGTAGCATGTACTCCATTTCCTCTAATTGTTGATTGATAATCTATCACACGGATTTACATTTTGTTCATCAATTGATGAGCATTTAGATTGTTTCCACTTTTTGGCTATTATGAATAATGCTTCTTATGAATAGTCATGTACAAGTTTTTGTGTGGGCATGTTTTCATTTCTCCTTTTTTCTTTTTTTAATCTGTTTTCATTTTTCTTGGGTAGATACCTAGGATTGGAATTGCTGAGTCTAGTGGGAACTTTATTTTTGAGGAACTTCTTATGTTTTCCATTTTCCATTTCTAGAAGCGGTATACAAGGGTTCTGATATCTCAACATCTTCAAATACTTGTAATGATTCATTTTCTTTATTTTTATTTTATTTTATTATTTTTTTAATCCACACCTGAGGATATTTTTTCATTTATCTTCAGATAGAGTGGGAGGGAGGGAGAGAGAGAGAGAAAGAGAGAAAGACTCATTGATTGGTTGCCTCCCGCATGACCCTGACCAGGGCTGGGGACCAAACCCCAACCAAGGTACATACCCTTGACCGGAATCAAACCCGAGACTCTGGTCAGAGGACTGACACTCTAACTGCTGAGCCAAACTGGCCAGGGCCACTTTCTTTATTACAGCCGCCATCCTTCTGGGTGTACAGTGGTATCTTTTTTTTCTTTTACTTTTTAATCCTTACCCGAGGATATTTTTCCATTGATTATTTTGATAGAGTGAAAGGGAGGGAGGGAGAGTGAAGGAGAGGAACATTGATGTGAGAGAGACACATCAATTGGCTGCCTCCCACATGACCCTGACCAGGGCCAGGGACCAAACCAAAATTGAGGTATGTGCCCTTGACCGGGAATTGAACCCGCAACTCTTTGGTCCTTGGGCTGACACTCTACCTGCTGAGCCAAACCAGCCAGGGCTGCAGTGGTATTTTTTTTGTATCCTCATCCAAGGATATTTTTCTATTTATCTTCAGATAGAGTGGGAGGGAGGGGGAGAGAGAGAAACATTGACGTGAGAGGGACACATACACTTGTTGCCTCCCACACAACCCCGACCAGGGCCAGGGAAGAACCACAACCAAGGTACGTGCCCTTGACTAGAATCAAACCCGCGACTCATTGGGCCACAGGCCAGCGCTCCACCCGCTGAGCCAAACTGGCCAGGGCTGCAGTGGTATCTTAATGTAACATTTCCCCAATGACTAATGATGCTGAGCATATTTTCCTGTGCTTATTAGCCATTTATATATTATGATTTGCAAATATTTTCTCCCATACTATGGGTAGTCTTTTCACCTTCTTGATGGTATCCTTTGAGGCACAAACGTTTTTAATTTCAATGAAGTCCAATTTATTTTTTCTTGTGTTGCTTGTACTTTTGGTGTTGTATATAAGAGACCATCTTCTAACTGAAGGTCACAAAGTTTTCTAGGAGTTTTATCACTGTAGCTTTTACATTTAGGTCTGTGATCCACTTTGAATTCATTTTTGTGGATGGTGTGAGGTGGGGTCCACATTTATACTTTTGCATATGGATATCCAGTCATCTTGCACAATTTGTTGACAAGGCGATTCTTTTCTTACTGAATTTTCTTGGCACTTTTTTTTTTTTTTTTTTTTTATCCTCACCCAAGGACACTTTTCCACTTTTTGTTCAGGTAGAGTGGGGGCGGGGGGGGGAGAGGAACAGAGAGAGAGAGAGAAACATCGATGTGAAAGGGACACATCGAGTGGCTGCCACCCGCACAACCGACCAGGGCCGGGGACAAACTGCAACCGAGGTACATGCCCTTAGCGGGAACCGAACCCGGGTCTCTCAGGACCGCAGGCCGACGCTCTAACCGCTGAGCCAAACCGGCCAGGGCTCTTGGCACTTTTATCAAAAAAACAGTTGACCATGAATGTGAGAGTTTGTTTCTGGGTTGTCGGTTCTATTCCTATTCTGTTGATTTATGTCTGTCCTTGTGCCAGTACCCCACTTGCTTGGTTTCTGTAGCTTTTTTAGTAAATGATGTGCAGTGAGTCCTGCAGTGTTGTTCATCTTTTTCTAGACATTCATCTTTGAAATTTATGCCCATTAAGTCTCTTTTCATCTAGTGCCCTTGTATTTTATTTGTTGAAGAAACAGCGTCATTAGAGGTTCTATAGAGGTTCCATCAGTCTGAATCTGTTGATTGCTGTCTGTGGTGGCATTTAACATGTTCTTCTGTCCCTTGTATTTTAGTGATCCAGAGGCCTTCTCTGATTTAGATTTTATTTTAGCACAGGAATAATATGCAGGCAATGTGTGTTTCCAGAATGAGAACATAATGTAGGGTTGACTCTGTGATGTTAGGGGCTATTCATGATCTTCACCTTTTTTTTCCCATTAGAGGTGATTTACATTTTTATAGGGTCACCTTGGTTTCTGGGGTGGAGGAGGGGGTCAGGGTGGTTTTGAGGACTGAGGTGTAATCCTGCAACAGAGCACTTATTGCCATGCCTGGTGCACAGTGGCCACTCAATAAATATTAGCCCTTATTGTTGTTGTTATTAGAGCTGTGTGTGTGAGACTCAAGTCCCGGGCTCGGAGCCATTTTCTGGCCAGGGTGTTCTGCTCCCTTCTCCTCTGCCCCCGGAGGAGAAATCGTCAGTGCCCCATGGCTCTAGGAGGCATGTTCAGGAATTCGGCAGCCATCTATTTGCACCTGGTGGGGCCCCTCCAGAGAAAGAAGGCTGGAGCTTCACTCAGCAGGTGCTTGCACCAGACTGTAAGTGCACTCTGCCGCCTGCATGACCCAGGGCCCCTGGGATCTGGCTTGGTCCTGACTTCAAACCTGCGCATGAGCCTCCTCTTTCAGGAAGCCTTCCCTGACTGCACCCCTGAATGTGGGTCCCTCCCTTGCCATTGCTTCTAATCTAGAACTTGTAGCTCTGCATCTGAATGGTTGCTTGATGCTGCTGCCTCCCCATCACCCCTTGTGCCTAGCCCATGTGGGTACAGTTAGTACTCAGTAAATGTTTGCTGAATGAATACATTTATATAAGCCCAAGAACAGGCACCACTGCCTTTCTTATCTAAGTGCTGTGTGACATACTTGAAGGTCACTCCTTTGAGAACCCCAAGTTTCTGCAGTCCCCCCAATATTTTATCTTTTTCCTAAACTCATTCACCTTCTTTTTCTATCTGTGCCCCTGTACCCCTCTGATCTTTCTCACCCCAACCCTCCTCAAACTTCTCCTACTCCAACTTCTACTTCCCTCATCCCACACTGCTCCTGACTCATCTTTTTTATTTTTTAATATGACGTGTCCCCATTTCAAAAGGAATTTCTTGCCCTGGCCGGTTTGGCTCAGCGGTTGGAGCGTCGGCCTGCGGACCAGAGAGTCCCGGGTTCGGTTCCCGCTAGGGACACATACCAAAAAAAAAAAAAGGAATTTCTTGTGTCATTGAATCTATGATGCCATCAACTGTGAGATGCATTGTTATTTTTTGGACTAGTAAAGGGGGTAAATGCCAATCAAACTCATGCTATAGATTCTAAGACATCCAAATTCAGATAAAGTGCAATGCAAAAAAAATGCACATATTAGGATCCATTGACTATGGTGGAAATCTTCATACTAAAAACTTAGAAACAGAAAAGCACACATGAGCCCTGGCCAGATGGCTCAGTTGGTTGGAGCGTCATCCCATACACCAAAAAAAAAAAAAAAGTGGGTTTGATTTCCAGTCAGGGCACTTACTCAGATTTCGAATTTGATCCCAGTCAGGTCACATGCAGGAGGCATACCAATTGATGTTTCTCGCTCTCTTTCTCTTTCTCTCTTCCTTCCTCTCTCTAAATTCAATGTTTTTTTTAAAAAGAAAAGCACACGTGAAATTGAATCACCTATAATGCCATCGCACAGAGAGACCTTTTGTTAATATTTTGCTATATTTTCTTCCAACCTTTTTATTCTATTTATATATGATTATAGCCCTGGCTGGTTTTGCTCACTGGTTAGAGCATCGGCCTGCGGTCCAGAGAGACCCGGGTTCGGTTCCCACTAAGGGCATGTACCTTGGTTACAGTTTGTCCCCGGCCCTGGTTGGATCGTGCGGGTGGCAGCCACTCGATGTGTCCCTTTCATGTAAATGTGTCTCTCTTTCTCTCTCTCTCTCTCCTCCCACTCCATCTGAACAAAAAATGGAAAAATGTCCTCGGGTGAGGATAAAAATAAATAAATAAACATATATGATCATAGGAAAAAACTGTACACAAATATATTCTAGGGTATGTTTTTTACAAAACATCATACTTTACATATTATTTTGTAGCCTGTTTTACTGATATCAGTATGTCACATTGATAAATATTCTTCTAAAATATTATTTTTCTCCCACATTTTTGTTATTGTTAATCCTCACCCAAGAATATTTTCTCTACTGGTTTTTAGAGAGAGTGGAAGGGAGGGGAGAGAAACATGAGAGAGACACATTGACTGGTTGCCTCTGGCACATGCCTCAACTGGGGCTGGGATTGAACCTGCAACCCAGGTATGTGCCCTTGACCGAGAATCGAACCCACGACCTCTGGTGCGTGGACTGACTGGACTGACAATATAACTACTGAGTCATGCCAGCCAGGACTCTCCCATAAAAATAAAACATTTGTTTGTTTGTTTGTTTGTTTGTTTGTTTATTTATTTATTTATTTATTTATTTTGTATATGCCTCTAGTGGGAACCGAACCCGGTACTCTGGTCCACAGGCCAACACTCCAACTGCTGAGCCAAACTGGCCAGGGCATAAAACATTTATTTTAGGAAATTTGGCCCTGGCCAGGTTGCTCAGTTGGTTAGAGTGTCATCCCAACATGCCCAAGTTGCAGGTTCAATTCCTGGTCAGGGTACATGCAAGAATCAACCAATGGCCCTGGCCGGTTTTGCTCAGTGGTTAGAGCATTGGTCCGCACACCGAAGGATTGTGGGTTCAATTCCCAGTCAAGGGTACATACCTGGGTTGCAGGTTCAATCCTCAGCCCTGGTTGGATTGTGCGGGAGGCAACCAGTTGATGTGTCTTTTTTTTTTTTTATCCTCCCCCGGAGGACTTTTTGATATTTTGTTCAGATAGAGTGGGAGGGGGAGAGAGAGAGAGAGAGAAATATCGATGTGAAAGAATCACATCGAGTGGCTGCCACCCACACAACCCAACCAGGGCCGGGGACAAACTGCAACCGAGGTACGTGCCCTTAGCGGGAACCGAACCCGGGTCTCTCTGGACTGCAGGCCGACGCTCTAACCGCTGAGCCAAACCGGCCAGGGCTCGATGTGTCTTTCTCACATTGATGTTTCTCTCTCCCTCTCTCTCTCTCTCTTTCCCCCTCTCCCTTCCCCTCCCTCCCTTCCACTCTCTCTCTCTAAAAATCAATGGAAAAAGTATCATCAGGTGATGATTAACAACAACAACAACAAAAAGAATCAACCAATGAATGCATAAATAAGTGGAACAACAAATAGATGTTACTCTCTTCCCCCCTTTCCACCTCCTTCCTCTCTCTCTCTAAAACCAATCAATCAATTAAAAAATTAAACTATTTTGACATGTACTAAGTGCCAGGCCTGGTGATGGGTGTTGGATTCAGTACAAGAACAGTGCTGCCAATGTTGGCAAAGCACCTGCTAGGTGCCAGTCCCCATGCTGAGCTCTCTGAATCACTCACATTGGCCGGACTCCCAGGCTGTGGAACAACCTGGCCTATTCACAGATGGTTCCTGGGCCCTTGGGGACAAGGACCTAGTCTAGCAACCCTGCTGTTGCTGCCGCCCTGACAGGGTCCTATCTAGCTCTTCCTCAGACCTTGGGCAGGTCCCTGAACCTCTCTGAGCCTCATGTCTTCATCTTCAGATGGAGATTATCATGGCACCTCTGATAGGGATGCTGTGGGGAAAGAGCAAGAGCAAGAGAAACAGAAAGAGCTCTCTGTAGCCCCAGCAGGTGGCTGAGGAGAGCATTAGAGACCTGGCTCTGCTCACCGGCCAGTCCATGTGCCCATTATACTGATGGGGAGACAGGCCCGGAGGAGCTAAGTCACCTGGCAGTGTCACCCGGCCAAGGCAGCCTTCGGGCTGGCCAGTGTCTGCACACCTGTGGATGAGGGGGCCTGCTCTGGAGGGCATGCAGGGGAGGGAAGGGGTGGCTGGAGAAGGGCCCTTGAGCCCCCACTCGCCCTGAACTGAGCCAGTTCCCCTGAATCAGAATATGGCCTCATCTCAAACAGGCCTGAGTCGGAGTGTATTTGTGGTGTGACCTTGAACACATCACTCCCCACTCTATTTGCTCATCTCTAAAATGGGCCCAGCCAGGTTGTTCTGAGAATGAGTAAAGAGCTCAGCCAGCCGTCTGCACAGGGAAGCTGCACTGTCACTGTTGCCATGATCCTTCCCTTGCTCTCCACCTCCCCCTGCCTTCTGCTCCTCCTCCTCAGCTACCAGCCCCTCCTGAGTCCAACTTGAACCTGACTGTATCCTCGCTGTGTCTCAGGGCCTGCGGGGCCTGGCAGGTGGAGGCAGGGTGGAAGTGACATGGGGAGGAGCCCGGCAGTCTGGCAGCACAGTGGGAGGCAGCTGGAGCCCTGCTATCTGAGAGCACTGGTCTCTGCCTTCTCCCTGGTGGGACTGGATGGGTGGGGCTGTGTCAGGGGTGTGGTAGGGGGATATCTGCCTGTCTTCCCAGGGGCCCAGGCTGTGGCACCTCCTCCACTGGGACCTTCTGTTTGCTCTGTTTTCAGCTCACCATGTCCAAAAGGCTACAGGCTCGAAGGCTGGATGGGATCGACCATAACCCATGGTGAGCTGGGCAGGGCCGGGGAGGTGTGGGGTGTCCCTCAGACATGGCCGCAAGATAGGCTGGTGCTCCTAGTCTCTGGGTCTGCAGAAACTCGATGGTACCCAGGACAGTCAGATGTGCAGCCACAGCCCACGAGAGACGAGACCTGAAGCAGCAGGGGGGTTTCCAGTCTCCGCTTCACCCCACTTGGCATTGGCACTGGGGCTGGTGGCACGTGCCTGGAGCCCCAGCTCCCCAGCTACAAAATGGAGAAAATTTTTTAAAAATTCTTTTTCTTTATTGATTTAGAAAGAGAGGAAGGGAGAGGGAGAGAGAGAGAGAGAAACATCGATGAGAGAGAACATCTATTGGCCGCCTCCTGCACGCTCCCCACTGGAGACTTGACCCACAACCCTGGCATGTGCCCAGACTGGGAATCAAACCAGTGACCTCTTGGTGCCTGGACCAATGCTCAACCAGTGAGCCACACCGGATGGGCCAAAATGGAGATAATTTTATGACCCTCAGCCCTGGCCAGTTTGGCTCAGCGGTTAGAGCGTCAGCCCGCGGACCCGGGTTCAGTTCCCACTAAGGGCATGCACCTCGGTTGCTCTTTGTCCCCAGCCCCGGTTGGGGTCATGTGTGTGGCAGCCACTTGATGTGTCCCTCTAACATCAATGTTTCTCTCTCTCTCTCTCTCTCTCTCTCTCTCTCTCTCTCTCTCTCTCTCTCCTATTCTATCTGAAGATAAATGCAAAAATGTCCTCAGGTGAGGATAAAAAAAAAATGTATGTCCCTCAAATGGCCTTGGGAGGGTAAGGCAAAATAGTGGATTATAGCAATTGCCTAGCCAGGCCCAGGCTGGGGCTTTGTAGGAACTATTTTATTTCACACTTAGCACAGGGCAGGACCAGCTAAGTTAGGTGAGAAACAGGCTGCCCTTCACTGGGCATTCGCAGAGGTGAAGCTCTTTTCGCCAGGACCTGTTCTAAGTAGGAAGGCTGTGCGCGTTCTCATTGGTGAGAAGGTGATGCAGTGGGAAGGCTGTGTGAGCAAGATTCCATGACCTTCCGGTCCACACCCGACCTTGGCCTGGGGCATAGAGAGATCTCTACACTTTCAAATTTTTCTTGGCTGTTGTTTTTACAAAACGAGATGAGTATTTCTTTCAAACTCCCCCATGTACAGTACTGGGTGTTTTGCGAAGATCTTCCTCCTCCATCTTCTCCTTCGTTGCCCCGTGGCGTTTGGGATGAGAGAACCAGGCTCACATTCCCTGGAGAGTCCTCCTGAGGTCTAGATTGGGGCTGCGGGGTCCTGTCTGTGAGGCAGGCTGGGCAGCCTGGCGGATAAGGTAAAGTGCAGCTTAGAACGGGGGATGACGTGGAGCCAGGTCGGGAGGGGCGGCAAGACTCCCTGCCTCACAGACCTGGCCAAGTCTGCAACTCAGCTGCTCCCATTGTACAGAAGAGGAGGCTGAGACCAGGAAAGGTTAAGTCTTGTGCAAAGGCAGGGCAGCCCTGGCCAGTTTGGCTCAGCAGTTAGAGCATCGGCCCATGGACCAGAGAGTCCTGGGTTCAGTCCCACTAAGGGCACGTACCTCAATTATAGTTTGTCCCCGGCCCGGTTGGGGTTGTGTGAGTGGCAACCACTCGATGTGTCTCTCTCATGTCGATGTTTCTCTCTCTCTCTTCCTTCCACTCTCCCTCCCGCTCTAACTGAAGATAAATGCAAAAATGTCCTCGGGGGAGGATAAAAAAAAAAAAAGGCAGGGCAGAGCAGGTGTGGGCCTGGGAAGAATGCACAGGACAGGAGGAAAGTGTTAGGGGTAAAGGTCATGAGAGTCAGGGCAAAAAAGGATTCCAGGTCCCCACTGACCCCAGGGTGGTGGCCTGAGCATCAGGACCCTGCAGGCCCCACCTAGAGGACAGCCAGTCTCTGTGGAGCGTTTGAGCCTGGCTCCCCTGTCCTAATCACCGTGGAACGTCCACCACCTGATTTTGCATCTCAACATTGCCTGTAGCTGCCCTGTGACTCTGGGCAGGTCACTGGCCTCTCTGAGCCTCAGCAGCTCCATGTGCCTTCAGGGGCATGATGGAACTCTAGAGAGAAAAGAGCCGATTCTAGACATAATGCTATTTATTGTTATGCAAATTTTCTTCATTGATTTTAGATAGAGAGGAAGGGAGAGGAAAAGAGAGATAAAAACATCAATGACAGCCCCCTGGCCGGTTTGGCTCAGCGGTTAGAGCGTGGCCTGCGGTCCTGAGAGATCTGGGTTCGGTTCCTGCTAAGGGCGCGTTTGTCCCCGGCCCTGGTCGGTCGTGCGGGTGGCAGCCGCTCGATGTGTTCCTTTCATGTCGATGTTTCTCTCTCTCTCTGTTCCCCTCTCTCCCTCCCACTCTACCTGAACAAAAAAAAAAAGGGAAAATCATCTCCTCGGGTGAGGATAAAAAATAAATAAATAAATAAAAATAAAAAAAACATCAATGTGTGTCCCTTTCACATCGATGTTTCTCTCTCTGTTCCTCTCTCTCCCTGAACATCGATTGGGGCCTCCCGAATGCACCCCCCCCCACCCGGGATTTGGCCCACAACTTGGCAGGCTGTTCTGCAAATTTAACTCAGCCAAGCCCCCAACCAACCTGGAACCCCATACCAGCCTTTCTCCCAGTTTTCCTGAAGAAGTGGCCACCAGGCAAGCCCAGAAGAAAGGTTGTTGAGAAAGGTTGTTGAGGGCCAGAGATGGCAGAGGGCAGGGCTGATGGGACTCTGGTCTGTCCAGGGTAATGATCAACTGTGTTCCAAGCAGATGTGGGATCACAGGCTGGCCCTGCCCTGCACTAACCTGGGCTGGGCAGGTCCCACCAAACTTCAACTTCTCCAGTCCCACTGTGACTCAGAAACAGGGTCATGAAATCCACTTAGGGGGCCTCAATAACTATTTCTAAAGAATTGGGTAGGGTAGGGTAGGGTAGGATAGGATAGGATAGGATAGGATAAGAATGGAACGGAATTAGATCACACCAGAAGGATAATGTGATTCCCTGTCTGTGCTCTACAGGGTCTGTGATGTAAAGATGATTTTGTGGACCTGGCTGGTTTGGCTCAGCGGTTAGAGTGTCGGCCCACAGATCAGAGAGTCCTGGGTTCAGTTCCCGCTCCGGACGTACCTCGTTTGCAGTTTGTCCCTGGCCCCGGTTGTGGTTGTGTGGGTGGCAACTAGTCGATGTGTTTCTCTTACATTAATGTTTCTCTCTCGCTCTCTTCCCCCCTCTTTCCCTCCCGCTCTCTCTGAAGATAAATGTAAAAATGTCCTCGAGTGAGGATAAAAAAAGATGATTTTGTGGCCTGGCCAGGTGGCTCAGCTAGTTGGAACATCATCCCATATACCAATAGGTTATGGGTTCAATTCTCAGTCATGGCACATGCCTAGGTTGTGGGTTCGATCCCTGGTTCAGGTCCATTTGGGAGAAAACTGATCAATGTTTCTTTCTTACATTGATGTTTTTTTGTTTGGTTTTTTATCCTCACCTGAGGCCATTCTGTTTTTCTTGTTTTTTGTTTTTGCATTTATCTTCAAATAGAGTGGGAGGGCGATAGGGAGGAAGAGAGAGAGAAACATCGACATGAAAGAGACACATCAGCTGGTTACCACCCGCACAACCCCAACCGGGGCCAGGAACAAACTGCAACCGAGGTACATGCCCTTACGGGTCTCTTTGGTCCACGGGCCAACGCTCTAACTGCTGAGCCACACCAGCCAGGGCTCACATTGATTTTTTTTTCTCTCTCTCTCAAAAAAAATCAATTAAAACAAAAAGATTCCTTACTATGGATCATGGTCCAAAAGTTTGAAAGTTTGAAAGCCCCTGGGCTGGGACATGCGTTTGGCACAGTGCCCGGTCCACCTCATTGAAAAGCACGGGACCAGTTATGTGCCTGACACAGATCTTCGGGCCAGAACGGATGCTAGTTGTCCAGCTTTTCTAGAATGAGCCCTGGAAACAGGTAGAAGTCCATGTCCGGGTGGAGGGATGCACTGGTGCTGACCCTCCATTTATCGCCCAGGGTGGAGTTCACCAAGTTGGCCAGTGAGTATGACACTGTGAACTTGGGACAAGGCTTCCCTGACTTCCCGCCTCCAGACTTCGCCATGGAAGCCTTTCAGCACGCTGTCAGCGGAGACTTTATGCTCAACCAATACACCAAGGCGTTTGTGAGTCCCCCAGCCCCTCCTGGGCCCATGGACACAGGCCTCTGATGAGGCCCTGGGGGTGGAAGGGGTAGAGCCCAGGGAATTCAGTCCAGCCATAGTTCAGTGTTCATTAATATGTCCTCTGTTTCAGGCCCTGGGTCAGCTCATGGTCTGGGAAAGGCAGACCAAAAACAAGAAAAAACAGAACAAAACAGAAAACAAAGGCAGTTGATATGCTGTGATGGAGGAAAATGGGACAGGAAGAAGGGGAGATCAGGGAAGGCTTCCTGAAGGAGGTGACACCTAAGCAGAGCCCTTGTCAGCTACTAAGTGATTTGACTCTAAATTCAGACTTTCTGTAAAGGGTCACAGAGTAAATATTTGCCAACCCTTGGAATAGACCAATGGTTCTTTTATTTATTTTTAATTTTTTTAAATTATTTTTTCTTTATTGATTTTAGAGAGAGAGGAAGGGTAAGGGAAAGAGATAGAAACATCAATGAGAGAAAACATCAATTGGCCGCCTCCTGCATGCCCCCCACTGGGGATTTGGCCCACAACATGGGCACGTGCCCTGACTGGGAATCGAACCAGCGATGCCTTGGTGCATGGGTCGATGCTCAACCACTGAGCCACACCAGTCAGGCAGACCAGTGGTTCTTAAACATTGATATACATCAACCCTGACTGGTATGGCTCAGTTGGTTGAGTGTCATCCCATGCACCAATGTGTCGCAGGTTCAATTCCTGGTTAGGGCACATACCCAGGTTGTAGGTTCAATCCTTGGTTGGGATGTGTACAATATTTCTCTCTGTCCCCCCTCCCCCCTCCCTCTCTCTCCCTCTTCTTTTCCCTCTCCTTTCCTCTCTCTCTCAAAATAATCCGTAAAAACATATTTTTTAAAAAGGAAGAAATAGCCCTGACCGGTTTTGCTCAGTGGTTAGAGCATCAGCCTGTGGTCCAGAGCGACCCGGGTTCAGTTCCCGCTAAGGGCATGTACCTTGGTTGCAGTTTGTCCCAGGCCCTGGTTGGTTCATGCGTGTGGCAACCACTCGATGTGTCCCTTTCACATCGATCTTTCTCTCTCTCTCTCTCTCTCATTTCCTCGCTCTCCCTCCCACTCTCTCTGAACAAAAAAATGGGAAAAATGTTCTTGGGTGAGGATAAAAAAAAAAAAGGAAAAAATATAAACGTTGGTATTCATCAGAATTGCCAGGAAGGACATTCCCTCCAATTCCACCATCCAGAGATAACCACTGCCAACAATTTGCTACTTTGGTTAGAGTGTTCAGACTTTTAAACTTTTAACCTTTAAAAATGCTTACATAAACACACACACGGTTATATACCTATCTGTGAGATTTGTATTTAACACAAATGGACTTATTCTATAATAAACATTCTTAAATTGTTTATTTCATTAAACAGCATGTCAGCAACAACCTTCCATGTCAGAATAGCTTCATTCTTTTTTTTTTTTTTTTTTTTTAAATTTTTATTTTTTATCCTCACCCGAGGACATTTTTCCATTTTTTGTACAGATAGAGTGGGAGGGAGAGAGAGGAAGAGAGAGAGAGAGAGAAACATCGATGTGAAAGGGACACATCAAGTGGCTGCCACCCACACAACCAACCAGGGCCGGGGACAAACTGCAACCGAAGTACATGCCCTTAGCAGGAACCGAACCCGGGTCTCTCTGGACTGCTGGCTGACGCCTCTAACCGCTGAGCCAAACTGGCTAGGGCACTTCATTCTTTTTGATGACTGAATAGTATCCCATTGCCTAGATGTGCCACAGTTTACTTAACCAACCCTGCACTGCTGGACTGGCTTGGATATCTTACTATTATAAGCAGTGTCGCAGTGAATAGCTCTGTCTACATCTTTGTATATGTGTGTGAGTGTTTCTCTCAGATCAATTCCTAGAAGTAAAACTAGAGAATCAAAGGGTATAAGCATTTAAGCATATGGTAGATACTGTAAATTGCCCTCCAGTAAGGTTTACTCAAATACCCACCAATAGACTGGTCTGAGAGCTGGCAGGAAAGTTTCTTCTTTGTGTAAAGAAGGAACCATTTGTCTCACTCTTGCCAACCATAGGCATTATCAATCTTCTTAATATCTGCTAATGGTGACATTATTTTCTTATAATATGGCAATATTTCAATCTTACTTTTTTTTTTTATCCTCGGTTTCCATTTATCTTCAGATTGAGTGGGAGGGAGGGAAGGAGGGAGAGAGAGGGAGAGCAAGAGGAAGAGAGAGAGAGAAACAGAAACATTGACATGAGAGAGCCACATTGACTGGCTGCCTCCCGCACAACCAGATACCATGCCCTTGACCAGAATCGAACCTGCAACTCTTTGGTCCGCAGGCTAATGCTCTAACCAATGAGCCAAACTGGCCAGGGCATCAATGTTACTTTTACTTGTTTTTCTTCAATCATTATTTTTTCATATGCACAACAGGCACCAGCACTTTTTCTTTTGTGACCTACCTCATTTTTTCATTTGGATGTGTATCTTTGTCTTGTTGCTTTGTAAGAGCTCTGTATATATTAAATACCTTACCTGATTTTCTTATATTGCAATGATTTTTCTCTTTGTCTTTTAACTTTGCTCATGGTATATTTTGCTGTACAGAAATTTTTATTTATTTATTTTTCTTTATTGATTTTTAGAGAGAGGGGAAGAGAGAGGGAGAGAGAGAGAGAAACATTGATGAGGAAGAACATTGATTGGCCGCCTCCTGCATGCCCCACACTGGGGATCGGGCCCACAACCTGGGCATGTGCCCTGCCTGGGAATCAAACCAGCAGCCTCTTGGTGCAGGAGTCAGTGCTCAACGACTAAGTCACACTAGCTGGGCGCTGTACAGAAATTTTTAACTTTTATATGATCAGCGCTGGTGTAGTGAATTATTTAGTTTAATTCTCAGTCTTCGGTTTCAGTCACTTGGCTTAGCCTTGAGCATTTTGTAAATGTCCTCAGTAAACAAGTGGCATGCAATCTTCCTCTCTAAGTGGAGTCCTTCCAAAGCTGCGGCATAAAATCCTATTCCTGCACCTCAACTGTGGTGATCTTGGGCAAGTCATTTCCTTTCTCTGGGTCTCTATTTTCCTACCTGCCAAATGATGGGAATCTAATAATGCCTTTCGTGCAAGGCTGCTGGGAGGGTCAGATGGCACAAATGTGCTCCTTAAACTTAAAAGGAAGTGTTTCAGGTGTCGAGTTGCTGCTGCTTTGGGGGCTATATTGGGCTGTGCTCCATGAAGGCACGCACTCTGTCTGCTTACCCACCACGTCCCAGCCCTGGGCACTGGGCTGGCACAGAACAGGTCTTACGGCAGATGTTGCAGGGGAGATTCAAGAACTCACCCCACAGGAACAGACTTTGCCTCAGTCCTGCCCCTAGAAGATGCAAGAACTGCCTGGAAGCAGCTGAGCTGGTGGGTGGGCCCAGGCTAGCCAGGCGCTGACCCCTCTGTCCTGGCAGGGTTACCCACCACTGACAAAGATCCTCGCAAGTTTCTTTGGGAAGCTGCTGGGACAGGAGATAGACCCTCTCAAGAATGTGCTGGTGACTGTGGGTGCCTATGGGGCCCTGTTCACAGCCTTCCAGGCCCTGGTGGATGAGGGCGATGAGGTGAGTGGGGCAAGGCTTGGGCTGGTGGGAGTCAGGGGTCAGGGTGATACTGACCCCAACTAATCTGACCCTTGTACCAGGTCATCATCATCGAGCCTTTTTTTGACTGTTACGAGCCCATGACACTGATGGCCGGAGGTCGTCCTGTGTTTGTGTCCCTGAAACCAGTAAGGACACTGACTGGGGGTGGGTGGGCGAGGGGTCCAAGGAGTATGCTGTGTGGGATCCTAGGAAGTGGAAAAGATGGGAGGAGGTGAAGGAAGCCAGTTTCTCCAGGATAGGGAGAGGGTGGGGGCAGATGCCTGGGGGAGAAGGGTCCCATCCCTGGCGTTGACTGTCCGGTAAGTATTGATTGCCCCCCACTCTTGCAGACCCCCACCAAGAATGGGGAACTGGATTCCAGCAGCAACTGGCAGCTGGACCCCATGGAGCTGGCCAGCAAGTTCACACCTCGCACCAAAGCCCTCATCCTCAACACACCCAACAACCCCCTGGGAAAGGTACTGAGAATCTCCTTCTGGGGACCCCTCCAGACTGGGCTCTGATACGGATCTGCTGCCTTGGGGCCTTGGTTTCTTCGTCTGGAGTGGGAGGGCTGCCTGTGGGGAGCTTTGAGGACGAGGCTCCTGCTGTCCCAGGGACGGGCGGGGTCCCCACGGAAGGTCTGAGGGCAGTGGTGGAGGGGGCTGGGTCCCTCCGTACTCACGTCCCCATGGCCCTGAGACATGACCTCACCTCTCAGAGTGTTTTCTCAGCTGGAAAATGGGGACATGACAAACCCAGTGTGAAAGCAGTCTTCCTCCTGGATGTCCCTTACGCTCTCACACGACTGCCACACTCACCACACTTCAGACGCTAGATGTGTGCGTGGGGTTTTCCCTTCCCCACACCGAGCCGTTCTGTGACATCAGCTGGGTGTCCTGCAATTGAACTCAGTTTAATTCAGTTCTGACCCTGTCTTCCTGGAGAGAGCCAGTCCCACAGGTTACGGGCTCAGTGTCACAAGACTGTCCCCACACCGCTTCAGAAGCGAGTCCCAAGTCCAGGTTGTCACCTGTGCTTCTGACCAGTCAGCCGTGAATCTGAGCTTCCCACGACCTGCTCCTCAGTTTCAATTAATTTGCTAGAGCGGCTCACGGAACTCAGGGAAACACACTTGGCAGTTTATTAAAGAATATGATGAAGGATCCGGCTGAACAGCCAGATGGAGAGGTACATGGGGCGAGGAGGGAGGGTCTCAGGCACAGGCGCTCTGTCCCTGTGGAGTTGGGGTGCGTCACGCTCCCGGTGGATGTGTTTGCCACCTGGAAGCAGTCCGGTTTGTGGAGGCTTCATCACGTAGGCACAATCAATCATTCACTCCCTTTCCAGCCCCTCTCCCCTCTCTGGAAAAGTGGGGCTGAAATTCTAGGCCCCTAATTATGGCTTGGTCTTTCTGGTGACCAGCCCCATTCAGGAGCCCACCCAGAGTTGTCTTAGAACAAAATGTGTCGCGAGTGCTCTCATCACTTGGGCATTTACAAGGGTCTCAGGAGCTCTGTGCCAGGAACCAGGGTCAGAGACCAAAATATTATTTTTCTATTATCTCACAACCAGCCTCACAGGGTCAGTGTTGCGGGGATTCAGTAGGACGAGCAGAAAGGCAGTGGGTTTGGCCATGTCCTTTTATTCTCTGAGCAGGCTTCTCTGTTTGGGGACGGTCCCCACAGGTGTTCTCCAAGGCAGAGCTGGAGCTGGTGGCCAGTCTGTGCCAGCAGCAGGATGTGATATGCATCACTGACGAGGTCTACCAGTGGCTGGTCTTCGATGGGCAGCAGCACATCAGCATTGGTGAGCCCGGTTGGCCAGGGTGCCCCCACTCCCCTGGACATTGGTGCCAGGGCCTTGAGCCAACCTGGGAGTCAGCACAGGCCTGATGATTAGGACCGAAGGGTCTGGAGTCACAGGTCATGTGACCGGGGGCATGGGAGCCAATGGTACCTGCCCCAGGGTTGTCGTGAGGGTAACCTGGGATAAGTCCTGTAAGTAGCACAGATCAGAGTGCCGAGTGCAGTGAGCCTGAGTGCCCAGCCACCACCCCTTCCTGCGTCCTCACCCCCATCTCAGCAGCGCTCTCTTTGGCCTTGGCAGCCAGCCTCCCTGGCATGTGGGAACGCACTCTGACCATTGGCAGCGCTGGCAAGACCTTTAGCGCCACGGGCTGGAAGGTGAGTCAACAAGGTTGGGGGGTTACCCCCTGTGACCCTTGGCAGGAAAGGTGGCCTGGGAATTAAGGAAGCCTTTGGCCAGGCTCTGAAAGGCCTCGCCCCCTACCTGTGTTTCTGCTCTAGGTGGGCTGGGTCCTGGGCCCGGAGAGTCTCATGAAGCACCTGTACACAGTGCATCAGAACTCTGTCTATCACTGCCCCACGCAGGCCCAGGTGAGGAGGGCGGGGAGGGGCGGGCCCAGGCTGGCTCCAGGGTCAGCTTAGCCTGACCTACTCTCCACCCCCACCCCCACCCCAGGCCGCAGTAGCCCAGAGCTTGGAGCGGGAGCAGCTCCACTTCGGCCAGCCCAGCAGCTACTTTGTGCAGCTCCCACAGGCCATGCAGCGCACTCGCGACTACATGATACGAAGTGTGCAGTCGGTGGGCCTGAGGCCCGTGATCCCCCAGGGCAGCTACTTCCTCATCACAGACATCTCGGACTTCAGTGCGTGGGGCTGGCCAGGCTGGGCAGGGTATGGGGGCTGGAGGCTGCCCAAGGCTCAGCATGGCCTCTGTCCCCCAGAGAGCAAGATGCCTGACTTGCCTGGTGCTGTGGACGAGCCCTATGACAGACGCTTCGTCAAGTGGATGATCAAGAACAAGGTGGGCTGGGCCTCTGCCAGGGCCCCTGGGTATGGTTTTATAGGTTGTGTACTGCTCAGGGGGCCTGACCAAGGGCCAGAATCCAGCCCAGCCGCTGCCATGAGCCCTGGTACAGGGTTGTATCCATTTCAAGGAATGGAGAACCTGTTTAGTTTGCACAAAGGTGCCATGTGGGCTGGCAGGAATGAATTCCTGGCCTCCCAAGGTCTCGGCATTGACATCTGTACAGTGAGGAGTTGGTCCATTAACCCGGAACTCATCAGCTCACACCTGTGAGCTAAGGCTTATTTCCCTGGTTCTGCCCTGCCCCCCCTTGGCCTCCCTCTACACACAGGAGGGACTTGGGATGGTGTTCTGGTATCCTTTCCTCTGACCTTGACGCAGCACTGGGAGGCAGCACGCTGAAGCTTGCTCTCCTTGCCCGCTTGTCCCCCCACCATCCTGGAATCTCTCTACCCTCAGGAGGGAGCTGAGGCCTGCCGGGCTGGGAGGCTCTGTTGAGACCTGGCTTCCTTCTCCCCAGGGCTTGGTGGCCATCCCCGTGTCCATCTTCTACAGCGTGCCGCATCAGAAGCACTTTGACCACTACATCCGCTTCTGCTTTGTGAAGGTAAAGGGCAGAGCTGCGGGAGGGAAGGCCCTAAGCTTCCCAAGGCCCGCTGGGGCTACGGGGAGAAGAGTAGGACCAATCTGTGTGGGTGCAGGATGAATCCACGCTCCAGGCCATGGACAAGAAGCTGCAGGAGTGGAAGGATGAGCTCAGGGCCTGATGTCACGCCCTCAGCCCTGCCTCGCCTGCTTGGTCCCTGCATGCCCTGCACGGCTCTTTGTCCAGGATTTGGTCATTCTGAGGCTGGGGATAGATGGTACTGCTGAGCCCTTTCTCTGTGACGCAGGTTGGCCCCAGGGAAGAGCCCTCCTTCTTAGTCTTGGGGGGTTGGGAGCACCTTCCTATGGTACCTACAGTCTTGTGGAGGTAAGGGAGGCCTGACCCGGGCCCTCTGTGACCCTCCCACCCTCTGGCCTCCCAGGCTTGGCTGGGACTGAGTCTAACAGTGGACTGGCCTTGAGTCCCTGCCCTGAACCCAGCCAGGGCTCAGGCAGCCCTCCCTTTCCTTATCTAAACTTGACCTTGAGAAATTGCCCTTGGGCTCCAATCCTCAAGCCAGTACTTTTTCTCCTAATAAAATTTTAAGTTATTTAAACCTTTATTGGCTTCTCTGTGATACTGGTGCTGATTACTAATGGGGATTTGGTCAGTGGGAGGTACCTCAGTGAACCTCAGATGCTAGTCCCTCTTTGTCTGTTTTTTTTTAAATATTTTAATTTAATTAAAATTTTTTTTATCCTTACCCAAGGACATTTTTTTTTGCATTTATCTTCAGATAGAGTGAATGGGAGGGAGAGAGAGAGAGAAACATCCATGTGAGAGAGACACATTGACTGGCTGCCGCCCACACAACCCCAGCTGGGGCCAGGGGCAAACTGCAACTGAGGTACGTGCCCTTAGCGGGAACCGAACCTGAGTCTCTCTGGTCCACGGGCCGGCGCTCTAACCACTGAGCTAAACCAGCCAGGGCCCTGGCCCCTTTTTGTAGAAATGTGTTTTTTGGGGTAAAACCTGAGTCCTGCCCTGGCCGGTTTGGCTCAGCGGTTGAAGCATCAGCCTGCGGTCCACAGAGACCCTGGTTCGGTTCCCGCTAAGGGCATGTACCTTGGCTACAGTTTGTCCCCGGCCCTGGTTGGGTTGTGCGGGTGGCGGCCACTCGATGTGTCCCTTTCACATCGATGTTTCTCTCTCTTCCTCTCTCTCCTTCCCGCTCTATCTGAGTAAAAAATGGAAAAGTGTCCTCGGGTGAGAATAAAAAAAAAAAAAAAGAAAAAAAACCTGAGTCCTGGGGAAGGGTGGAGACTTGGGCCTTGAAATCACACAGTTAGTTCATGGTAAGGCCAGGCCTTGAAGCCAGGGCTCAGAAGGCATGTGTTACTGGTGCTGTGTGTGTGTGTGTGTGTGTGTGTGTGTGTGTGTAGGAGATGGGGGCTTCATTTGAGTGTCTGACAGGGAAGATGCAGACAGTCCCATCCCACAGGTGTCAGAGTGCAGGACAGGGTGGCCGGGGCTTACACAGCAGGAGAGGGAAGCAGCTAATGTTTATTGTGTGCCCTTGCATGCCAGGCACTTGGGTGCCCATCATCTCATTAAATAACTCCCTGAGACGGGAATTACTTCTCCATTTTACAAGTGAGGAAACTACTTTGGAGGTGAGGTGACTTGCCCAGGGCCATCCAGCTGATGGGGTGGCCATCCTGCTGGAAAGCAATGACAGCAGCTAGATTTGTTGGGAAGGTGGCGCTAGAGACTTGTCTTGGGGTTGCATTTGCAGAGCAAGCCATGGGTGTCGCTTAGGTATTTAGTTGGGGGAGCTGATGGGCACATATAGTATAATATAAAATATTAGGTCTTTGGCCCTGACCGGTTTGGCTCAGTGTTGGAGCGTCGGCCTGCAGACCAAGGAGTCTCAGCTCAATTCCTGCTTTTTTTTTTTTTTTTTTTTAATCCTCATCGGAGGACATTTTTCCATTTTTTGTACAGACAGAGTGGGAGGGAGAGAGAGGAAGAGACAGAGAGGGAAACATCGATGTGAAAGGGACACATCGAGTGGCTGCCACCCGCACGACCAACCAGGGCCGGGGACAAACTGCAACCGAGGTACATGCCCTTAGCGGGAACCGAACCCGGGTCTCTCCGGACCGCAGGCCGATGCTCTAACCTCTGAGCCAAACCGGCCAGGGCTCAGCTCAATTCCTGCTAAGGGCACGTACCTCGGTTGGGGTTTGTCCCCGGCCCCAGTTGGGATTGTGTCGGTGGCAGCTAGTTGACATGTCTCTCTCACATTGATGTTTCTCTCTCTCCTCTGTCTGAAGATGAAATGTAAGAATATTCTTGGGTGAGGATTAAAAAAGAAAAAGATACTAGGCCTTTGTCACCAGTTCCTGGCACAGAGCTCCTAAAACACTTGGAATTTCCTGAGTGATAGGCATGTCTTTTGTTATTCATAACAAGTCCATTTGACCATGTGATTAGAGGTCAGAACTTCCAGCACCAAACGAAAGAGACTGGACATTAAGTTCAGTCACATGACATAGCCAGTGATTTCATTGATTATACATCTGTAATAAAATCCACATAAAAACCCTGAATTCATGAGTCTTAAGGAGCTTCTGGTCAGTGAACACATCAATGTGTTGGGAAGGTGGCCAGTCCAGAGAGGGCATGGAAGCTCTGCACCCCTCACCCCAAGACCTTACTCTGAGTGTTACCGGCCCAAAGTCCATATGCTCAATGCTCCAAAATGCAAAAACTCAAAATATCCAAGTCTGGAGTAAGGAAAGGCTTATTGATAGAGAAGACACCAATCCAGAAGCTGGGGGCCCTAGTAGTTCCTCAGATCCACCTTAAGAAAGTACAGAGTTCAGGCTTCTTTTATGTCAAGGGAAGGGAAAGTGGGAGGAGCTATTTTTGTGAAAACTCAAGCAGAATTCCTCTTGTGATTAGCTATTAGCCTGAGGGCCACGAAACCACTCTGGCCCCAACAAGATGAAGTCCGAGAGACCAAGCATTTCACTCTGTTACAATCCCCCCTCTTTTAAAAATTTTTTTTTTCCCTTTATTGATTTGAGAGAGAGGAAGAGAGAGGGAGAGAGAGATAGAAACAGGCCCCGATTGTGGGCTCGATTCCAAGTAGGGGGTGTGCAGGAGGCAGCTGATCGATCAATGTTTCTCTCTCACATTGATGTTTCTATCTCCCTCTCCCTTCTTTGCTCTAAAAAATCAATTAAAACATATAAAACACAAAAAAAGAAAGCATATCTCATTCATTGCTAATAGGAATGCAAAATGATACAGTCATGTTGGGAGACAGTTTGGAAGTTTCTTACAAAGTTAAACACAGTCTTATTTTTATTTATTTATTTTTTATCCTCATCTGAGGACATTTTTCCATTTTTTTGTTCACATAGAATGGGAGGGAGAGAGAGAGAGAGAACAACATTGATGTGAAAGGGACACATTGAGTGGCTGCCTCCCACACAACCCAACCAGGGCGGGGGACAAACTGCAACCGTGGTACACTCCCTTAGTGGGAACCGAACCCGGGTCTCTCTGGACTGCAGGCCAATGCTCTAACCGCTGAACCAAACCGGCCAGGGCTAAACACGGTCTTACTGTAGGATCCAGCAGTCAGGCTCCTTGATATTTATCCAAGTGAATTGAAAATTCGTCACACAAAAACCTGCACATGAATATTTATAACAATTTTATTCATAATTACCCCAAACTGGAAGCAACCAAATGTCCTTCAAAAGGTGAATGGATAAACAAACTGTGGTATATCCATACAATGAAATAGCATTTATCAATAAAAAAGAAATTAGTTATCAAGCCCTTGCTGGTAGCTCCGTTGGTTAGAGCACTGTCCCAATACACCAAAGTTTCGGGTTTGATCCCTGGTCAGGGCATATTCAAGAAGCAATCAATGAATATGTAAATAAGTGAAACAACAAATTGATGATTTTCTCTCTCTCCCTCTTCATCTCTCTAAAATTAATAAAAAAAATTTGTAAACATTAGCTATCAATTCTCAAGAAGACATGGAGGGAACTTAAATACATATTGCTTAATGAAACAAGGGAGTCTGAAAAGGCTACATGCTGTCTGATTCCAACTGTGTGACGTGGAAAATGCAAAACTATGGAGAAAGTAAAAAAGCAGTGTTGCACTGGCCAGTGTGGCTCAGTTGGTTGAGTGTCTTGCCTGTACCAAAGGGTTGACCATTCTATTCAGGGTCAGGGCACATTGCCTGGGTTTTGGGCTGGATCCTGGGTGGAGTGCATGCAGGAGGTAGCTGATAGATGTTTTCCTCTCATGTCAATGTTTCTCTCTCTCTCTCTCTCTAAAACTCAGTAAAATATTCTTTAAAAAAAAAAATCAGTGTTTGCCTGGGGCTTGGAAGGGGGTGGGTGGAGCCCAGAGGATTTTTTAGGGCAGTAAAACTATTCTGGGTGGTACTGTAATGTTACATAACATCATGCATTTGTCAAAACCCAAAGAATACAACACAAAGAGTGAACCCTAATGTAAACTTTGAACTTTGTTTAATAATAATGCATCAATATTGGTTCATTAACTGTAACAAATGTACACTAAGGCAAGATGTTAACAAAAAGGGGATAGAGGTTAATGGAAACTCTACTATCTGCTCAGTTTTCTGTAAGCCTAAATCTGATCTAAAAGATAAAGTCTATTAGTTTTTTAAAATGTTTTTATTGCTTTTTTTTAGAGAGAGAAATAGAAACATAGATGTGAAAGAGAAACATTGATCAGCTGTCTCCTGCACGCCCCCCAATGGTGATTGAGCCCTCAACCCCAGCATGTGCCTTGACCAGGAATTGAACTGGTCCTCTCAGTCCATGGGACAATGCTCAATCCACTGAGCCACACCAGCCAGACTAATTATTTTTTTAATCCTCACCCAGAGGATCTTTTCCCACTGATTTTTAGATACAGTGGGAGGGGGTAAGGAGGAGAGAGAGAGGGAGAGGGAGAAAGACATCTCACCCGGTCAGGGGTTGAACCTGCAACCAAGGTATGTGCTCTTGACCAGAAATCGAACCCATGACTCTTCAGTCCACCGGCCAACGCTCTAACCACTGAGAAAACTGGCCAGAGCATAAAGTCTATTAATTAAGAGAGAGAGTAGCCCGACAGATGTGGCTCAGTGGATTGAGCATTGCCCTATGGACTGAAAGGTCTGGTTGGACCAGTCAAGGCACATGTCTGGGTTGTGGGCTCCATCCCCAGTAGGGGATGTGCAGGAGACAGCCAATCCATGTTTCTCTCTCCCCCTTCCTCACTAAAAAAAATCAGTAAAAAAATATTTTTCAAGAAAAGAGAGTAAATGAACGAATCTATAAAAGATATAAAAGGAAATGTATTATACGAGCTTCAAGGTCATTTCCAGCTCTGAATCCCAGAATCACACTAGTTCTGGGCTTCCCATCTTGACATGCTGGCGGTCGACGAACCCCGCCAACGGCTGTGCAGGTGCTTCCAACGCGCGGAGCATAGCCCTGCCAGCCCACGCGATTCCCCGCCTTCTGGGAG